AGTCATTTACAAAGCACAGAGATTTCTTAAAACTCTAGAGGCTGAGAAGGCCAAACCAAGGCCCCACGTCTGTGTTATCCCATGCGGAAGGCGGAAGGTTAACAGAGCACATGTGTGAGTGAGGACAGAGGACAAACTCATCCCTTTCACCTCGGAACCCGGCCCTGCAAGACTAAGCAGTCCTGGAGATGATGGGGCGTGGTCAGTGCACTCTGGACAGCAGAGCCCGCGCAGGCAACACCTCTTTTTTTTTTTTGGTACCCGAGATTGAACTCAGGTCCTTGCACTTTCAACGGGCAGCACCTCTTAGGGGGCCATCTCCCTACACCGTTGCCCTTGCCGTTTCCAAGACATGGACCCTGGGGGACGCATTTAAACCCTAGCAAGTGGTTACATCGATTGCTCATGTCTTTTGAGGCTTCTGAATTTCGTTCAAGCTTAAGTAAACTTTCCCTAGTCCCCATATTAAGAAAAAAAAATGTACCTGTTAAACAGGACATTACTTGCATTAAAACAATAGGCTCTGATTCACATAAAATAAAATTTGATTAAGAGAAACAAAGAAAAGAAGTTATCCTATTTGTTTTCCCCAAATGGCTAACAGATTGTCCCTGCAGATTTTCTCGGATGACGCAAATTTTCTCCATTGGTTTGAAATGCCACCTTTAATGTACTGAATTTTCATGTGCACTGGAATTTAGTTCTGTGATTTCTTTTATTCCATTTGTCCGTCTGCCAGGTCCACGCTATTTTCTTTTAAGCAGTTGTTATTGTAGCTATACCATTTCTTTTTATATCTAGTATACCCACATCAACTATTCTAGTCTTCTCTCTTCCTCCAAGAATTTTCTTGGCTCTTCTCATATTTATTTTTGTAGGTAATAAAAAATAAGAGCTAATATTCATGGACTAGTCTGAGTCAGGCACTGTTATAAACACTATATATGTGTTAAATAACTTAAACTTTACATGGGAAATTTCATTTTTTCCATTTGATATCTAGGGAAACAGGCAGAGATGGGAGTAATAATTGGTGTAAGGTTACACAGTAGAACTCAGAATTATTCTCTTGGTATTTTCATCCAATCTGCATTTCAGTCAGTTGGTATGAAGCCGAATTAAGCTTTTAAAAAGTGTTTTGTCTTCTCAAGATAAACAGAGAAATGGTGATATCTGCTTCATAGAGTGAACCTGGAGGAATTTAGCAAGCCCTTGCCCCACAATTAACAAAAGGCTCATTATTATTACTGTTTTTGTTTTGTTTGGTTTGGTACTGGGGATTGAACTCGGGCCCTTGCCGCTTGCGAGGCAGGTGCTGGAACCACTGAGCTAAATCCTCACCCTAGCTCATTATTATTAATGCTATTATTTATTAAAATTTTTTGTCACTTAGATTGTTTTGTTTTGTTCTTTTGAGACAGGGTCATGGTATATATTTTAGGCTGGGCTTGAACTCACTATGTAGCCCAGGCTGGCCTCAAACTGACAGCAATCCTCCTGCCTCAGCTTCCAGAGTGCTGGGATTACAGACATGGGCCATCATGCCTGGCTGTTGCTTAGACTTTCTATAGTAACTTTTGTTTGGATCATGTTCATTTCTCATCAAGAAAATGTGCTTATAAATTATAAACTATATTTATTTTATTGCTGTTTTTGAACTGGTTTCTCTTTGATTATAAAAAGCCTTATTTTCATATTAATTTTTTATAGTTTTATGTTAATTTCATAAATTGCTACCTTTAAAAAACATTTTTTTCATAGTATATGTTTGTGATACATAATGAATACATTAATTGTGGAAATCTGGTACCTGTACATATTCCCCCTTTTTTTTTTTGTACCGGGATCAAACTTGGGTCCTTGCACTTGAGAGGCAGGCACCAGAACCACTGAACTAAATTCCCAGCCCAACTAAATCTTAATCTTGTTTTTACTTCTCCTTTCCCTCTCTCTCCTCTTCTCTCTCCATTTCTAGATCCCTTTCCCATCTCTTACTTTGTTTCTAAAAATGTTTCTAGTTGATTACTTCAAATCAGGGATACAATCATAGCCTCAGAATGATGAGGAGGCCCCTTTGGATACTGTGTTTGTTCTGTTCCAACTAATTGGCTTGAGTGAGGCTTTGGAGCCAGATGAATCAAGGGCTAATGGCCACCTTTTCTGGTTCCTGCATCTCATGGGGCTGCTTCCAGGCAGCACCATTAACCAAGGTGCTGTTGGGGAAAATATCAATCTTTCCTATTTTATTAAGGATTAAATAAACCCAAGAATTGATGTTGGATTTTACCAAATAATATTTTATTTACCCTTTCATTTATTAGCATATGTGATCAGACCTTTCTAAATATCGATCCAGTTAACTAATACTGTGTTATTATTTTAATGGCTGCTGGATTATAGTCAGTATATTCGACTTAGAAACATGTTTTGATATTCCTAAGAGAGCCGGAGTAGCAGATTTCTCCTGTGCTGTCATTAGCAGTTTTACAATAGAGATCTTTGTAGCAAGAATCTAATTAGTGTGAGAAAAGAAGGAATTCACTCCTGGAGTTGAAAGAATTGACACTGAGTAGCTTCCATTGCTAGTTTTGCCTTTTCTACCTTCTTTTAAAATTGAAGTCATACAGCCGGTCTCTTTTTGTTTCCATCTTCTCTCACCATCACACCTGTGAAGTTTATCCATGTTATTATGTGTTCAGATTTCATCCCTCTTGTTAGGTTTCATTGAGAAGGTGTAAAACCTGGCAGCTGGGAGCCCAAGGGGGATTAGAGTGTGAGGAGGGGGTCTAACAGGCATAGTACTTGGTTATCTGCAAACCCTGATCCCACCTCCCTACGGATCTCACCTCCAATCTTCAGACGCCACGGGGAGCCTGGCTGTTAGGTGGGTGTGGGCTGGGGACTGAGGCAGCTCCAAGACGCAGCCCCTCCTTCCAGTTTCCTGTATTTTGAGCCGTGGTCTTTATTTTGTTTTATCCTTTGTCCTCATTCGCCATAGGGTACAATTAGTCTTTCTCTTCACCTTCTTTAGTGGAAGTCTGGTTTGAGCTCTGCCAGTAATGGCTCATATGTTTTTAAATACTATTTGAAGTCTCCTGTTTAGCAAGCTTAGAAATGAAAGAGTGTATGTTGATGTCCTGTGTCATAATGATGGTATAATTAAGTATCCATCTGTAAGTTTCCTTGTTCCCTTTTCACTTCTATCTATGTTTTGTTGTCTTGTCATTGGACTTGGCACCAAACTATCAATGATTACTTATTATTTTGATATTTTGTGGAAGTATAATGATTATATCATTTCCAGAGAAAAACAGACGAAATTTTAAGGTACTTTATGATAAACTGTCAGACTTCTTTTCCTTATGTGATTCACCACTATTATATCTTTAAAGAAAATTTGCTGGGAGATTTGGAGGGTGATAAAATTTCCAAACTCTTTTGTGTTTTAAATGTTATTCTACTGTTTTTCCTTGCAAACAGAATCCTAGAAGGGTGTGGAGTGAGTTGGGTGTGGTGGTGCACACCTGTCATCTAGGACTTTGGGATGCTGAGGCAGCAGGAGCACAGTCTGAGCCTGAGGAAATTAGAGAGACCTGTAGCTTCTCTCTGGAACAAGTGCCTCATGACAGTGGTGCTCACTGGAAAGCAGCAGGAAGAGGTGCAGTCATTGTTCAGAGGCATCTGCACCCTCTCACCCCTGCCTTGCACACTGGCGGGGTCAACTGTGGGGGAAAGGGCATGGCTTGTTCTGGTTTATTCCTGTTTACTCTTCACAGCACACATTCTGTGTGACCTCTGGGGTGGGGTTTTCTTGGTTGGAGCTGCTCTCTCTACTGTTTGTTCTTCTCTATGCATTTTCTTCACTTTTTCAGGAAGGGTGATTGTATATGCATTCTTTTTAACCATCTTTTGGGAAGTTCTTTCTCTCTGATTTGTATTTTTAAATTACCATACCTATATTTCTTTTTTATTTCTCATTTCACATACAGTCATTCCTCTGTATCTAAAGGGAATTAGTTCCAGGAGGCCCTCAGATACCACAATACCCCAGTTCTCAAACCCTGTAGATGAGGTGGCATATATTACCCAGACACATCCTCCCCATGTTAAATCATCTCTACATTACTCTCAGTGCCCAATAAAGTATGTCGTTATATGGGGTTGTTTAGGGGATAATAGAAAATGTATATATGCTCCCCCCCAAATATTTTCACTATTCAGTGTTGAACACATGATTATGGATGATTGCGTTTGTCTTTTTAAAATTATGTTTCTTAATTATGTGTTTTTTGGTTTTTTTTTTGTAACAGGGTCTCACTATGTAGTTGAGACTGCTCTGGAACTCACTGTGTAGCCCAGGCTGGTCTCCAACTCACAGCGATCCTCCTGCCTCAGCCTCCCAAGTGCAGGGATTACAGTTGTGCACCACCACACCCAACAGCTTGTTTCTTAATTATGATAGCATAAAATTTACTTTACATTTCTCACCCGTGAGTGCAGGTTGCAGCCAACTTACTGGAAGCCAGTTTATTCACTGGAGGAATTAATTCATCAAATGATAAACTCAGTCTTTTGAAAGTATATCTGTTGTGCAGTGAATGCTGTGGCTCCCTACAACCCTGCCACCATCCTTCATATGTTGCAGCCCTAGCTGGCTACGTGATGGATATTTGGAGCAGGGACTCTGAGAAGTAGGCTTAGATGAGGTCAGGAGAGCGCACCCCGATGGGATCAGTTCCCTTTTAAGAAGGAAAAGGCAGAGTCTTCCTTTCCAGCATGTCTAGGGTAAAAGCCTTGTGGGGGCACAGTGAGGAGGGAGATGCCATTTGCAAGCTAGGAAGAGGCTTCTCTCAAAGGGCCTGACCACACTAGCACTTGGCCTGGGACTTCCAGCCTCCAGAACTGTTGTCAGAGCCACTCAGTCTATGGTATTTTGCTTTGCAACCCAAGCTAAGACTTTATCTAGTTCCTAAAACCTTGTTTTAAAGAAACATGGTTCTGTGCTTGCTGCGGCAGCACAGATACTAAAACTGGAGCGATGCAGAGAAGATTAGCATTGCCCCTGTGCAAGGATGACATGAAAGTCATGAAGCGTTCCATATGTTTGAGTCAGGAGTGTTTTGAAGAAGGCTTTTGTCCAACTTTGCAAAAATTGGCCAATGCTTTTGCTTTGTCTCCTTTAGCTACAGTACTGAGCTGCTTGCAAATCTAACAGGACCCAGCAGATTAGATCCTGAAACCAAGAATCTCCAAGACTATCAGGTCTTAATAGTACACAACAACTTGGCTATAAATTTTGCAATGTGATCTTAGCCCAAAATTTGGGGCTATACAAAAGCTTTGAGTTCTTTAGCTCTCAGCAGCAATCTTGCAAAAGATATTCTGGTTCTACTGAATGGGATTCTGGAGCAAGTAAGATAGCACATTCTGAGAGCTCGGGAGAAAGTCCAGAATGAGTTAGAAAAAGGAAGTAATTTGGTGGCCAGTCTGTAGCGGTGCAGGGTGCCAGCACAACTCCAACTCTCTTTCAAAAATGAAGATGCAAAGAATAAAGAAGTGTATACGACTCCTCCCTGGGATGTAAGAGCAACCCAAGAATCAAACTCTACTTAGCAAAAGACTTACAATGGATGTAGAAAAGTGACAGTGTTAGTGAGGACAGACAGGAGATGGAAGACTGCTGAGTGAGCATGAGATCCAGAGCCAGAGGCAGAAATGAAGGCGAGGTTATCATGTAGAACTGAATCAGCAGCACTCAGAAAAGGCAAACTTATCCTGGCCCAGTTTCTCAATGAAGATATTAGTTATGAGATATGATGGAGATTAGGGTTATGTTCATTTTCTTCTTTAATAAAGTTATGCTTTTGCCAAAATCAGAAAAAAGGAAACTGTCCCTTAAGGTATACTTTTTTTAAATTTTGGTACCGGGGATTGAACTCAGGACCTTGCACTTGCGAGGTAGGTGGCAGAAACACTGAGCTAAATCCCCAACCCTAAGATATACTTTTGCATAGGAATATATTCTATTTTCTTTTATATTCCTTGATCATATTAAATCAACAAAATATTTATGGATCACTGTTTTTGGTTCTAAGGATAAGAGGAGAGAACAAAACAGATAAAGTTTTGGCTCTCATGGAGATTTGGCTCTGGCATTGAAACAGTGTGTACGTGTGTGTGTGTGTGTGTGTGTGTGTGTGTGCGCATGCACGTGTGCCAGTGTCTTCTTGGAAGAGGTGGCGTGGTTCCCCCAACTGTGGTGGGCTCCTGGGCAGACCACACATGGGAAGGAGGTGGTTTTCTGGTGTTTCCTGGGAGTTTCCTTGCACAGGACGGGAGGGGTTTCGGGTATGGCTGAGGAGAAGACATGGTCTGGGGCTTTCTTTTAGCAGCAGGTGTGTCCACAGACGGGAAGGGTGATAGTGTGGGAGAGGGAGGGATTCCCTTGAGTAGCCAGGAGGGTGGGACAGAGGATGCAGGGCATCGGGCTGGTCTTTGCTGGGATCAAGGAAAGTTGCTGGGATCCTGGACAGCAATAGGACTGGAGCCGGAGCACTGGTCTAGGTGAGAGCAAGCTGGCAGAGGAGTGGGAGCAGGTGGAATGATGCTCCCCTGGGCTTTTTTTTTTTCTCTCTGAAGCGGAAACAACGCCCACAGCTGGAAGGGTAGAGGGGAATTAAATTGACCCATATCTCAGAAATCAGCTCTTGGATGGATTTATCATTTCACAGATTTTTCATTTTATCCCATCATTTTCTTTTTTGTCTTTTTTTGTTTTTTGTACCAGGGATCGAACTTGGGTCCTCGCACTTGTGAGGCAGGCGCTGGAACCACTGAGCTTAATCGCCGGCCTATCATTTCCTACTTTATATCAAATTCTCCCTCCCATCTTCCTTATGCTGCTGTTGTCCCGCAGTTAACAATGGGGGCCTTTGAGGCCACACATCTCCTGTGGAGCGCAGCTCCCACCCAGCCTCTCCTCCCCCATTAAGATGCCACAGCACAAAAGGATCCTTCAGCTTGGATCCCAAAGTCCAAATTCTAATCAGATGATACAGGGTCTGTTGCAGTAAAGAGGCCCGGCTTTCTGGCTTCCTCCTCTTCCACTTCTGTGGCTTCTGCAGAACTAGAAAACATGCTTGTGCACAGAATTGGAAAAAAAGTGTATGCTGTTACATTCCATTGCTGCCCAGAGGGGCTTTAATAGAATTGCTACATTTTTCTCAGAGGCATTTGCATATTTGAAGCTAATCCTGAATGATTGGATTATTAGAGTTTTATTGACTGGAAGGACTATTAAATCATCTTGAAGCAAATGCTTATCCTATTCATATACAGCTATCTCATTTGCTATGTGGATCCTCTGAAAGATTCTGTGTCACCTATGTTTAAGAATAAGATTAGATTATATATTTACAGCTACGTAGAAAAGCATAGATTAAAAGGCTATGGGGAAAAGCACCCTGGCATTAACTGTGGTGAATTCTGGGTAAGTGGATTCTGAGTAACTTTTTTCTTTATATTTTCCCTCCAATTTCCAATCTTCATGTATGTAATATTTTAAAAGGTGTTTCAGGACAGAACATTTACATTTATGTATATTCTATGAATTACGATTACATTAAAAATAGTGTGTACATTAATAGAACTGAAAGAAATGTATGAAAATGTTAGCCAAGTTTTTCTCTGAGTAGTGGGTACAGTGACGATTTTTATTCTCTTCCTAATGCTAGAGTGCATTTTTCAAGAAATATTTTTGTATAATGTTCTTTTTTCATAATGGTGAAGTGAATTTTCTTTTTAATAAAGTAAATTATCAAGATATCCTGGGTATGAAAATTTATTCACCGATGTTTCCCAAAATGTAGAGTCCTTCCTTAACCTAAATATTCAGATTTTTCCCCATCTTGGAACCGTTTCCCTCAATGATGACTTTGATCCTAGGTTCCAGCCTAATTGTTTTTGTTTCCTCTTGGGAAGCACACTCTGCTCTCGGGCTTTGCTATCCGGACTTCGTACTTCTGTATCGCCCGTGTCCTTTCTCACCGTTTTCATCTCTTGGGTGTTTTGCTCTTTATTCTGAGGAGGCTTTGCCACTCTGCCCTCCATATTGGTGTTCCAGGAGAACGGCTGTCCTCCTGGAAAGGGGAGTGTGAGAAACACCCATGCAGAGGAGGAACTGAAGAACACAATGCTGCCCAGGGGCGGGAGCGGAAGCAGGGGTGATTTCATGACTTTCAAGATCATAGCAGCATTGGTGTGAAGGTTTCTGCGACCGCTGCCTGAGCTTGAACCACAAGTCTGACCCAACAGGGGGACGTGCAGGACGGGTGGACCCGAGCATCCCTAGGTGACAGCCTACTTGCCTCCTTGGGAGGTAGGCCACAGAGGGAAGGGTACTCCCAGGACAGGTCTGGCCGACACACGGCTGATACAAAGAGGGAGAGTTGTTTCCCAGAGCGGTAGCACCTCTGCTTCTCCCTCCACTGCCCTTTCTGCTTTCTCTGTGTTCACCAATCACTTGCTCCAAAGTTCCTCGCAAGCACTCTCTTCTCCAGCCGTTGGGAAATTCTCTTTTTGTCTTGCACAGTGGGCTCTCATCACAGCCAAGATTCTGTTCATTTGGGTTTCCCAGCCAGATTTTCTGGAGCCTCTGGGGGGCTTGGGTCTTAGAGATGCATCTCTTTGGCTGTATGTGGTGGTGCCCCGTGGGGCCCTTTCCCAATACAGTTCACACTGACAAGCACCACAGATGTTCAGACCCTTCTGCTGGCTCTACTCCTGTCCTGCCTGTGTTCCTGGAGAGCCACCCCCAGGCCCTGGGGCTTCTCCTTGTCTCCTAGCTTCTGTGCCTTCCACCGCCTCCAAGTTCGGGTCATTATCGGAGACTCTTTATTCCATGCAAGTCAAGTTGTGTCCACAGTCTTACCACAGTTGTTTTCTATTGACTGGGTCATGCAAACGTTGAGTATGAGTTACTCTGACCTCAGCAAGTAGGCTTCAACCAGACTTTTTCCCCCCCAGTACCTTGAGTTTCCAAGACAGGTGCAGCACCACTGAGCTAAATCCCCAGCCAGGGTCATGCAAACTTCGAACTGTTTTGCTCTCTGCAGGTATTTCTCTAGGAATATCTTTTTCAAAATGGGGTTGTTTGATTAAAGCATACTGTATATTGTAAAATTTGATAAATATTGCCTTCCTGCCTCCACCAAACAGCTCTGTCAACTTATATCTCTACCAAGAGTTTATGGGTTGTACTTTTGGTGTTCTAGCTAAAGGCTCATCAACAAAGTTACATAGATTTTCTGCTAGAAGTTTAGTATTTTAATTTTACATTTAATTCTACAATGTATTTTGGGTTAACATTTGTTTACAATGTGCTATCTGTGCCTAGGTTCTTTTGTTTGTTTTTCATGAGGGGGAGGCTATCCTTTCTCCTTGAATCACCTTTCCACTGTCATCAAAAATCAGTTAACTGTAATTATGAGGGGCTATGCACATTCTGTTGATGAATGTGTCGAAAAACCACACTATCTTGACTACAGTGGCACTAAGGTAAGTCTAAAATCAATATTACAAGTCTTTCAAATCTGTTCCTTTTCAGTATTCAAAGTTCCTTGTTTTCCTTATAAATTTTAGAACCAATTTATTTACAAAAGTTTCATGGGACTTTTGTTTTTTTGTTTTTTTTTTGGTACCAGGAATTGAACTCGGGTCCTTGTGCTTGCAAGGCAGGCCACCGAACCGCTGAGCTAAATCCCCAGCCCTTCATGGGACTTTTGAATGAGATTTTGTTGACTCTATAGATCGCATCAGGAAGAACTGATACTATGACAATATTAAATATTTCAATCTATGAATATGGAATATCTCCCTTTGTTTAGGTCTTCTTTGTTTTCTTTCATTAGTGTTTTATAAGTTTCCAAATATTAATTTAGTACATATTTTGTTTGATTTATACTCAGGTCTTTCCTTTTTTGTTAGTGCTCTTGTTAAGTGATATTTTAAAAATTTCATACTTCAGTTTCTTGGAGTTGAGCTGTCTTTTCCCTGGGTTGTAATATTCTCTTACGTATTCTAGATCAGTGAAGATGAACCTGTTAGAG